CATGGTCTGACGTGTGCACGAGCATAATGGAATTTGGATTCTTTAACGAGCACGAGGTATTGTTGACAGAGCAGGTGACTGCAGACGGAGGGTGCTGGGGCTTTAAACTCCTAACCTTTGGTTTATAGCTGTTGTGTGTACAACTCACTGTGAATTATTCTAGTCTAACCTCTGAAAAAGATGTCAAATGAAGAGCCTGTAAGTGCAAGTGAAGCAGAAGAGTTTGACGAGATAGCCCTCTGATTTGTGGGACGTGGAGTCTTTCAGAGCTCCCTGCCAGCTGTCCCCAGAGCCTGTCCCCGGAGCTGGGGACACCCCAGATCTCAGCCCCCTTCGTGGGGTGCCCGAGCTCGGCCGAGCAGTCCTGCCTGGGACCCAGGTAGCCATTTCCTTCACTAGCCAGCCACAGCACGGGCTGAACGGCTTGCTGGGCAGCGTGGATGGGCTTGCACTGGCTCCGTTTTGGTCACTGCAATTTAAGTGTAAAATTTTGCCCTGGTTGAGGCTACAACCCCGGATTGAGACCCATAAACACAGTGGGAGAGCTCTCAGCTTCCCTTCCTGGGCTTCCTCCACTCGCCCGCTTTGAATTTTCTTCTCCCCAGTTAAAAGCATCTCTATTTTTTTTTTCTTCTTTTTTTTTCTTCTTCTTCTTCTTCTTTTTTCTTTTTTTAACTTGAGAGTTTTATTGTGCCAGAGGCTTTCCTTTCAACAAGGCACGTGGTGAAGTGACAGCATCATCTCTCAGGGAAGTGCAGGAATATTTCTAGCATAATGCCCCGCTGTTATCAAGGACACACTTTGCATTTTGCCCGTTTTGGTGAGAGGTTCGGCGCTTAGTGAGCAGGGCACAAAGCACAGAGGGAACCAGGAACACCTCCAGAAACTGGTAGAAATGTGGAAAAAGACACAACTTACTGGTTGTGTGCTGAGCAGCACATCTAGCTTGCTTTGTGAGAAGCAGCAGGGATTTTGGGAGAGGGCTGGAGGAGGGGGCTCTGGGCACAGCAAACCTTCCGTCTGGCTCGGTGGTTCTGTCGCAACAGATGGTTTTCGTAACACTTACTGGAAGGCATTATTTTATCCTTGGATTGTCTAAACACTCTTAGCACCAAAACAATGTGATTTATGAAAGGCAATGAATGCAAAGCTTGTTTCCGAGTAGCATTAGGTCTTAATCATGTGTGGTTGTGAATCAGCAGCGAGGCAGCAGTCCCTGTGAGGAGTCTCTCATTTCTTTCCCTGTTAGTATTTCAAACTCTCCGGGCTTAGGGAGCTTCCCACCTACTCTGCCTCCACCTTCATTCAAATTATACCTCATTTCTGTTCCTTTTCGCCTGTCCCATGGGCTGGTGACACATTCTTTTCTTTGCAGGTGGCTTTACTGGGGTTTGAGGGATGTGGGATTTTCTCTGTGTGGGACTGGCAGGAAAACCCCTGGTGCCCCCTCAGTTTTAAGGACAGATCTTGGATAAGAACGCAAAGGTGAAGGAATTGGGCTCATCCTGAGGTGTCACAGAAGGACCTGCTCTGAAGCATAAAAGCATAACCATGCTCGCCTGGTTAATTGGGGTTTACTCTTTAAAATTAAGATTACTGGTGGAATAACTGGCATTAACCCCGCTGTGAGAGTTGTATTTATTCTCCTGCAATCTCATACTGAAACAAAAGTCAGAGGAGCTCCCAGGATGGTGGCCTGCAATCCGTACGGTGCCATAAACCAGTGAGTAGCTGACCTTGTGAAGGAGGAGCACTTTGCTGGACACTTACTCCTGGTTGTACAGGGTGTCCTCTGTGCCGCTGCCTCCCGTGGGACATCAGAGCTGAAACCATCTGTCCACGAATAGGGCTTGCTCAATGCTGGGCATCTCATGGTGTAAATTCGTTGTTAAAGTCATTTCTTTATGTCACTTGGTATAAATATGGTCTCTGACTTCTTTTGGCTTTAATTACTGAGAAGCTGTTGCTGCAGGTGAGCTGTGCTCAATGTGCTGGCCAGCAGGAAAGTCATTAGTGTGAGCACCAAGGGTGGTGGGGACAGGGCACGGGTGTGAGAACGGGGATGCTCACCCTTGTACCCTCGGAGATACAGGCCTGGAAACAGTAAAAGTCTCCTGGGCTGCAGAAGTAATGGCAGTTGCGAAAAAATGAGCTTTAAAAACTGGTTTTCTTAATCCCTTGATGCCAGTATCTTACTGAGTCAATCCGAAGCAGGGTTCATATCGGGCTACTGGCTCACCCGTGAGGAAGGAAAACGATACAGCTTAATCTCTAAAATATGTCTTGGCAGAACAAAGCTGACAGGTATGTCTTCCTATTGTAAACAGGATTTGGGATCTGGGTTTCTTGTGCAAGTCGCCTTTGACAGTTGTTACTAAGGTAGTGTTTCCCAAAACCAATAAATGATTTTTGTCCCTGTTATATTAATAACTCAGTCCCTTGACAGCTGTGATTGTACAGAGGCATGTAAAGGCCCTTATAGAGGGACAGACAGATTGAAATAAAACTCTTTCAAGTGAGAAATAGGAAACCAAATTCTATTAGCCCCTCATCTCACACAGTAATTAAAAATCTTTGACCTCCCCCGTTTCGCCCATCTATTAGCAGTACATATGGCTAAAGAGCAACAGAGGATATAAGCTTTGCTGCTAATTTTAGCTGGGTGCCTGGGGGTGTGGGAGCAGCGTGGCATCCTTCCCCCCCCAGAACAGCAATGGATGCAGCTCCATCTGAAATAAATGCGTCCTGTCGGGCCCTGTGGCCAGGGGAGCTCCTAAATCCTGGGGGAGGACTTAACTAAGATCATTGGCCACTGTAAGGCTCAATATTAGGGGTGAAAATGAGATTCATGAGGGCTGTTTGTTTCCAAGCCTGGAAGTGGAGCCTGGGAGCTCTGAGTGGGGACACGGTGGCCCAAAGAGCTGCCCCTGTGTCCCACAGAGGACACGGTGGCCCAGGAGAAGGCATGGAAGAGGCTTGTCTGTGCCTGAAACCACATCTGACAGCACAGGGTTAGTCTTGTGCAATCGACTATAATATCTGCTAAAGAGAGCTCAACTTGGACCCTTCTCAGCACAGCAGCATCCTCAGACTGTACCCTTGTCCTCTTGGGTGTCCACAGGTGGGAGGGAAGGGGGAGATACTCTTGGCAAGCCATCGCAAAGGTCACTGTTCTTTAGTTTGGAGCTGTGACTTAACCAGCTTTTTCCTTTCAATTGATAAGACGGGGCGCGCAGGGATTACTGCTGCTATACATAGGCTGCTCTTAGCTGTGTCCTCTTCTGCTGGGAACGCTTCGGAGCAGTGTCAGGGACCTGCCTGGGACACCAGCAGGACCAGAGGAGGACAACTCTGAAGCTGAGAGCACTCAGAAGTTGGGTTTCCTCAGAGGGAAATCCATCGGAAAGGAGAGATGGGTGGGCTGGCTGCTGCTTCCCAGGGTGGGAGGCAAAACGCACCTCTGAATATCATTTGTTGGGGTTTTTATCTGAACACAAGATTTTTTTGTGGTTTTTTTTTTTTTTTTAAGCTCATGTTCAGCTCTTCAGGGATTTGGCAGCAGTGCTGGATTGTGTGCAGCCGTGTGTGCACATGGAGATAAGGAGCCAAGGCGTAATCCAGAATTCCTCTGCCCGATAGCCCTTATCTCCCAGCACGTGCTGCGGGTGTTTTCTCTCTTGGCGGGTCCCCCCCGAGGTGCTGGCTGTGTAAACACAGTTCCTGAGTTTCATGGTGAAGTTCTGGGAGGATCCTGCTTTATTGGCTCCTGGAATAGTGGGGGGAAACACCCAAAAGTGAGCTCCTGGCCAAGGACAGGCAAAGAAGCAAACCCTCTCTAGCTTGTCAAGAAAATAGTTCAAATGTGCCTGTTGGCCAGTTCCAGGCTTCTTTAGGACACTGTTGAAATTACAGCCTGCTCCTCAGAACTCGTTAACATCTTAATATTGCATACTCTAATTGTGGGGCAGCGTGTCAGCGAGGGTGTGTGCAGGGTAATTGCAGTGCGTGTATAGATTCTGCTTTAGTATTTTGGTTGCCTTTGGCAACAAAAATTCTGTGTAAATTACTAAAAATCCTTTGAATTCCAGTGGATCTGAGGCCAGGCCAGAAGTGTTATCCTGGGTGAAGCTGCTCAGCAAGAGAGATGTGACTTGGCCACTTCTTTTATCCAATCCAGCAGGTGCTGAAGGGCCCCCGTGCTGCCCGTCCATGGAGTGTGGATCGGCTGCATGAGAACAGAGCTCAAACTAAAGCAGATCTCTGTGTGTGTATATATAAACCTAAGTGCAGACTCCTCCAAAAGTGTTAAGTTTTGCAGCATACTCCAAATACTGCACTACCTGATAAAGAAGTTCTGTACATCAGTGGTACTGAGGAACGTAGCAAGTCTCTCGCTGTATGTTAGTGGTACTGAGGAACGTAGCAAGTCTCTCGGAGCGCGGCGTGGGAGCTGGGTTGCCGTAAAACGTAGGTTTTATCCTACAAACTGGTTTGGGTGCTCTGTGACTGGATTGGTGAGACCTCTCTACGTACACCCTGGTTTGAGATTGGAGGGAGAGTGTCTTGCTTAGCATCTGGGATTCCTCCAAGGTGACAGCTTCGCTCGAGGACAGAAAATCTTATTTGCAAGCGTAGCTAAAAGTGAAGTTTCCTGTTGGCAGAGCGGGGATGAGTCACTGTGGTTTCCAGTCGAGGGGCAGGATCGACGCTGCAGCAGGCGTCGACTTCAGATACACTCTCACAGAGTAGTGAGTTGGGGTGTTTGTCACTTGTCCCTGTTCCTGAGAAGGTGGAACGCTCCAGATGGGTCATCTCCACCACGGTGGTGAGCACATCCTCCTACAGCGCTGTGGAGTTACTGGTGAGGGTCCAGCCGTGGCTCTCCCAGTTACATCCCACTCCATCCTTTTACAGAACCAGCTACTTTTTTTTATACCAGTGCTTATTGCTGTGTTTCCCCGTTGCCCATCGCACATTTCTACATCCAGCCTGGTCTGCCCCAGGAGGAGAGGAAGGCTGGGGACATTCCCAGTTGCATCCATGCCAGACGTTCAAGACGGGTCTCCACTTTCCATGAAAGGTGCTTTATTGCAGGTTGGATGTCAAAGTAGAGCAGAGAACCACGTATAGGTGAATGCATTGAACTTTCCAGTGCTGTTCTCACTGAAAAGCAAAAAAAATTAGAATAATTTTAAAATTGAAGTGCTGCTGAAGGGCACTGAAGCTGTGCCAGGAGTGTCCTTCAGTAGCACCCTTAACAGCTGCTGATTTGCAGGAGGCAGTGTCTGGCCGTGCCAAAGGTGTTAGTCCCGATTTACCTCTCTTGTGTTTACAGAAAGGGGCACTAATTTTTCATCCTCCTACCTGTTGTGGTCTTTTTTTTTTTTTTTTTAAGAGTGTCTGGACAGTGCTGCTGAGACAACTTCCTCCTAGGGGAAAAAATAAAGTTTCATGTGGGAGTTTAAATTTAGTATTACAGATGCACTGGAAAAGGGCACTAATTGCATTCCGTTAAGGAGGTTGTAAGGAGATTTTGGATTTTTTTCTCTTTATATACTCAAAGACACAGAGAAAATGGTAAATTGTTTCTCTTGAACTTGTGAAGAATGAGGAACTCACCTGGTTTTTGGAATACTCAGGTTGGAATGACATTTATGTCAACGTATAAGGAAGAATACGGGAACATCAGCTTTTTCTAAAGTGCAATTTTTTGTGTTCCTGGTATAGATTGAAGCAAGGAGGACAAACGCTCCTGTTACTGCTGATCTCCTTGTGGAAATCCATAATTTTATAGCAAGTCCTGTGCGTCGGCGACGCTGTGGGTAACGATGTGCCATGGCGGGGGGGGAACTGCCACGTCTCACTGGCACTGATTTTGGCAGATGGCTCTGGCAGTAGCATCAAGCAGCTCAGGAGAGAAGAAATAACTTTGCAAGAAAGGAGAAAAGAGGTGGTGAAAACACCTGGTTTGTCACTCAATTTGCATTTCTAGACACCGTGCTTAAGAAAAAACAACCAGATCTTGTTCGTGTCCAGAACTCGTGTGGTTTGGTTTCTTACCCAGCTCAGGCTGGGGAGGGGGAAAGGCAAAGCCACTGGGACTATCAGATTGTCAGGCTGTTCCAAAATCCTCAAGTGACGGCCTTCAAGACTAGGTTTAAATCCCAAATGGCTTTTTTTGATCGTTAATTTGAATCAACTGAAGTTGTGAATGGCTTTGCTGTGTAAGAACTTTTCTATAGCTGTTAGCAATTAATAAATCCCATTTTTCTTGACCTTGTTTGGTTTGTTCCTTCTGCACCAGCCCAAGGTGCCACACTTCTGCTTTGGTGTTAGATGTTAACTTTGAGGTTGAGATCCTGGCCTTGGTCTGTCTGAGGGGTTTGGCTGCTCCTGGATGCCAGAGCTCTGATAGAGCTTAACATTCCAAATTTTCTCCAAAAGTAGATCTTTTCAAAGCAGAGTCCACCAGCTTTTGTCTCCTGCACTGCTTCTGTGTTGACTTCCATGGTGGTATTGTCCTTTAGCTGAGTTACTGTGTCACTTTGGAAGAAAGACTGGGACTTGAACGTGTGTAGCTTGTGCTAAAAATGCAGTGCAATGTACACCTCAACAAAAGCAGAAAATATGGAATCTGATAGTTGTAGTGTCCGTGTTTAGCTGGTGGCAGTTGAATACGAGTGTGTTGTTCCTATGAAATTCCCAGTCGTAACTTCACAATTCATTTGTTGATCTCTACCAACAAGGAATGTCTTGATTTTGACAATAGTTATGTATCTTTGGTGAAGTCTATTTCTTTGCTTAAATGCAGTATCCTATTACTGTTACACTAACTCACATGATTCCTGCTATTATTCTCCTTCCATTTTCCATTCTGGGATCTCAGACGGGTACTGAATACTCTGTGCTTCCTCTAATAGCCCTCTCTATTGTTTTCCGGAAAGATCTGTCAATTTTATTGAGCTCCCGTCACAGACTCCTGGTCTGTGGCTCCTGCAGCTGGAGACGACTGTTCTGAATCAAGAATGCACACAAATGTTTGGCCATCATAGAGATATACTTGGATAGAATCCATAGATCGATAGAAAATGACTTATTCCCTTGCCTTGACGAGGGGGACTTCTTTTGCAGTATTTCTTGTAAGATTTTAAACTAGTATTTGGAAGCTTTTTAGGTGTTTAACTTATAGCTTGGTGTTCTTATCTGTTGAAGATAGTGAATGTTATTGGTAGAAATACGTACTTCAAGGGTCCTGGAGGGGGAGACAAGTTCTTGGCCTTTTTAGGAACTTGGAACTCTTAGTTAAGCACTCTTCTCCAACAACCAAAAAAATCCAGAAAACCTGCCTTTTGCCCTCAGAGCTCGTAGATCTGTTGCAGTCCATAAACTCCGAGGCCATGAACTAATATTGTTCACTCTTCGTGGTGTTGTACATTTTACAGAAGGCGTTTTATCTCCCAGCGCTGCTCTCTAGACTTTTTAGAAGACATAGTGGAATATGCCAGTGTACGAAGGTACTTTTTTTTTCAAAAGCAGCATTAACCTCAGCTCGTTGCATGCAGTCCTCTCCTCCCTCCACCCTCTTCCACGCCGGTATCCGAGGTCCTGCATGCCAGTGCTGCCATCTGATCATACGACTGGCACGGCTCTTTCAAAGCATTTAACAGGTTTTGGTGGTTTCTTGTGTTTTTTTGTAATTGCAGAACCAAGCATATATCTGGGTCTCCAAGACACAAAAGTTTGAAGAAGATGCACTTCATCAAGAACATGAGGCAGTATGACACCAAGAACAGCAGGTGAGTTCTGGAGATGGAGGTGTCTCCTGTCCTCAGGTGGAACAGGACCTGCGGAGCCGTAGATTCGGGTTTGTAGGTGCTCGTATCTGCTTCATCTCCAGCAATATTCTGCCCTCCTGCTTTGAGGAGGTTAAATCATTCTCCTCCAACATCCTTCTTATGTCCAGCACACAGAGGGGTTAGAGCTGAAGGGGGATTTAGGGGAATGGCTTGGTTTAGCCAAATTTTTGGCTTGTAGCTGCTGGGCAGAAGAAGAAAGGAGAGGGAGCGTTCGTATTTATTATTAATAGAGGTGTGAGACTTCATCTAGTTGTAAAATATTATCAGCATCTTTTCACAAGGTTTATGTAAAAATGACCTCAATATAGATATATATTTAAAGACCAGGACCTCCTTTGAGGAGCTCCCAAGGTGACGGCAGTTCCTGAAGACTGGATTTGATACAGAGCTTGGCACTAAGTACCTACAGGGACGGGGATTTAGGGGAATGGCTTGGTTTAGCCAAATTTTTGGCTTGTAGCTGCTGGGCAGAAGAAGAAAGGAGAGGGAGCGTTCGTATTTATTATTAATAGAGGTGTGAGACTTCATCTAGTTGTAAAATATTATCAGCATCTTTTCACAAGGTTTATGTAAAAATGACCTCAATATAGATATATATTTAAAGACCAGGACCTCCTTTGAGGAGCTCCCAAGGTGACGGCAGTTCCTGAAGACTGGATTTGATACAGAGCTTGGCACTAAGTACCTACAGGGACAGAATGAAACCTCTGCTTTTGTGCTGCTTTCGGAAAACATAAAATCCATAGCAGAATCAGTGTAATTTACAGAGCAATTTAAGAGGAGTTCTGTGGTCATGTTCCATAAAAAGCTGCTTTGTAACTTCTGAATCTTAATTCTTCTCCTGCTCTCTTCTCATCTGCTTACAGGATAGTGTTGATCTGTGCTAAACGAACCCTGTGTGTGGCTTTTTCCATCCTACCTTACGGGGAGGGTTTACGGATCAGGTGAGTCGTCTCCAACTGCTTTGGGCAATGCCTGGTCTGTTGTTTGCAAAAGATCTTTTTGAATGAGTATGGTTGGTGTAAATCTCGTGTTTTGAAGGATGTTGACTTATTAACTTTAGGTGTGAGGACAATAGCTTGCTGTCAAAATCTGACATTGCCACAACGTCAAAACGTTTGTTCAAACTCCAAGAGAAAAACAGTGGAAAAGGTAGATTTTTCTTCAGGTTTATTCATATTTTAAAGCACTCAAGTGCTTTAAAATCCCTGAAGCCAACTCTGAACAGATGATGCGATTTGTTGGTGTGTGGGATTTCCTACGCTCCCAAAGTGGTCAGAAATAAACTGTCTTTAGTGCAACAAACAATTGTGTCAGCAAAATGCACAGAGAGCACCAGGGAAGGATGCTGCCGCCCGCGCTGGAAAACCTTCAAGGTTTTACAGTGAAGATACATCTAGATAAGTTTAAGATGCTTTTTTGTTTTTCAGCTCTAAGCCGTGAATGTCTCTATTTGCAGCCTAAGAAAAACAGAAGCAGTTTTGGCTGATTGAAACTGCTTTTAGTGTTTATACTGTTTTCATATAGAACTGTCAATCTGATCACTTAAGGGAAAGAAGAGCCGCCAACTGGGTTTCCCTGCAGCTTTGCTCAGGGAAGTCTAAGTTGATCCTGTGAAGGTCTGTAGTCTACGAATATACCCTCGAAAAATAGTAATTTTATTCTAATCCACTTCTTGCAAAGCAATTGTGTTGTCACTTCTGTCCTGTGCATAACTTATGGGCAGAGGAAACGGATGTTTAGTGGTGGGAGTTGTATTGTATGCAAATACCCTCGCCATAAAAATAGTTGATGGGAAAATATTCTCTCACTTCATAGAAAAGCAGCAAGGTCACCGGAGCTATTTTAGAGCAGTTCTGAGCACGGTGTCGTTCAGCTTGGGTGTAAATTGGCAGTTCTTTAACTGAAAGCTGCTTTTTTTCATGTTGGAATATAGGTGACACATAGGTGACAGAGCTGCAGGCTGCTGACGCAGAGCTCTGCTGGCAGCATTAATTCTGAAGTTTGAGCTTGTGTGCACAGTGGTTGGAAAATTGCAATGGAAAGGCGAGTTTCTAATCCTGGAAAAGCAGTCGTATAAATCTCGTTTGCTGTTAAGTGTTTGAGCATTAGAGTGTTAGCGAGCAGCATGAGCTTATGCAGAAAGACCATATTAAAAAAAAAAAAAAGTTTACATTTGCTAGGTATATGATTACAGATTTGAGTTAAAATGATACGATATGAAATCTGATTCTTAATGAACACCTCTACATTTTGAAAAAAGTACTTAAAAATTAATGCTTTCCTGGAGACAGGACTGAGGGGTTGTCTCTCACTGGTGTTGGCTGTGGCCAGTGGACAGACCTGGTGTTTACCATGGAGGAAGCTGAGCTTATGCTGTATTTTTCAATAGTGCTTTTTCTTCTCTGCATTTAAGTGATCTAAAAATGGAAGGACAGAAGCAACGACATCCTTCTGGGGGAGTTTCAGTCTCCACTGAGATGGTGCTCGGACTGGAAGGAGTAGAGCTGGGTGCTGATGGAAAGGTAAGGAATCTTTTTTCATTTTGTCTCTTGATCTGTAACACCAGTGACCAAACCAGGGGGTGGGTAAACTGGCTGCTTTCTCCCCAGGCAGGACCATTTCAAGTTGGGGTAAATGAATTTAGGGAACGCTTTGCCATCCATAAAATGAAAGCTGTACCTTTTCAGAGCAGCAGAAGCTTCTTTTGATCCTTAAAGTCTAAATTTTTGGCTTGTGATAAAGCTGCTTCTGAGGAGGCTGTTGAAGGCCACGATCACTTCTGCCTCCATTTCTGGAGAACTGATTTGACTCTGGTATCTCAGGGAGCATGTACGCGACGTTTTGGTAGAAATATGGTTGAAATTTATATCTCTTCAGTTAAATTTGTATACTGCCAGAATTTTACTGATGTGATTTTCCACTTTTTTTTTGCCACCGAATCTTTTACCCCACTTCCATCCAGAAGTGGTGGAAGCAAGACATTCCCCATTCAACTTTTCCTCCTGTCCCACAATGTCAAGGTCCCCACTCCCAATACAAAATCCAGGGGACTCCGAGTTGGAAAATCCTAGCTGTCTGGAAATAAGCTTTCTCGATAAATTTTCTCCTATAATTACTACAGCTTCCTCCTCTTTCAGGTTGTGTCCTATGCAAAATTCCTGTATCCCACCAATGCCCTGGTGGTTCGCAAAGCCGACATCCACGGTGCTGCTCCCCCCTGTCGAGCCAGCGCTTCCCGGAGTCTTCCTGCATCGAGATACAAACCCGTGACAGCAAAAACCATACCAGCAGGACCAGACATGGGTAAGGGCAGTGCCAGCTCTGTCATCGCTCGCCCAGACAGCACAAAATAATAAAAGGAATGCATTTGTCTGAAATAATTGCAAGGCCTTGTAAAGAAGGCTCGTTAATGAGGTGTAAATGATGAACCTTAGGACTAAGACTTGCACAGATTCCTTACATCCTCCAAATGTCTGGTCTAGTTCACTTTATGCAATTCAAAGAGTGCAAAACTTTTCCTTGGAAATGTGGAGTTTCATATAGCTCGACAAGAAACGCCTGGTAGAGGTGGTCCTCCTTGCCTTCTGGCACCGTAACAACACACAAGGCAAAGGGTTTGTGGCAAGAAATCCCTTCTCTCCTGTAAAAGAGCAAACCTGACAACTCTGCCGTCTGTTGAAGTACAGGCAAAAGAATTCAGTGTTGTGCAGTTGTTTTCTGTGCATGTTTGTGGATGACAAACTTAGTTTGCACTGAGCCTGAAATGGTGCATCAGGCACATGCAGAAGAAAGAGCTTGTGTGGGTTTTTTAATAATTCTAACACCTGACTGATGCATTTATGAGCTGCAAACGTGAGACTGTAGCGGCACTTTGCCTGTACCACGGGATCTGCCGACACTCTTAATGTTTGCTGTTTGAAAACATTTTTCAAGAGGGAATTTAAAGCTCTGTATCTCGTGACCCGATGTGCTTTCCTCGTTCCCTCAGGAAGTGAAGCTGGGGAAGCCGCAGAGTATGATCCAAATCTTCTGGATGATCCTCAGTGGCCCTGTGGGAAACATAAACGTGTTCTCATCTTTGCCTCTTACATGGTGAGTGCCGGCGTACCTGCAGAGAGGAGGGAGTGGCTGCTGGGAAGATCCTCCTAGAAAGAGCTTCCTCAGGGAGGAAAACTTCCTCTAGGAAGAAAAAGTCATGGCTTTTGGAGAATTGATTTAAGAAAAATACAATTAGTTGGGTTTGTACACTCAGCTTGTCAAGGAACGACCTGACACGTATCTCCATGTTGTCATTTACTTCTTGTAACCATTTGCTTACTAGTTTTTTAAGGCTTTGTCTGTAGTTGAGATTCAACATGGTGTATTACTTACGACATCACAGAATTGTTAAATTGTGATAATAAAACTCAGGTTTGCATTATTGTCTTTGGCAGACTTGTTTGGCTGCCAGTGCTGTTCACATGAGAAATGGTAAATTTTGCCTCTTGTGTTTCAGACTACAGTCATAGAATATGTGAAACCCTCGGACCTTAAAAAGGATATGAATGAAACCTTTAGAGAGAAGTTTCCTCATATCAAGTTGACACTGAGCAAAATTAGGAGGTAAGAAACACGCATGGACTAATGAGAACATTTTGTCTTTATGCTGTACACGGCTGCTTTTATCTTCCACTTGTATGGAGCAAATAGGAGATCTATTAATAGTATATATGATTAAACACTAATCTCTGGCTGGCAGTTGAGCTGACTGTAGGGTGACAGCCCTGCACAGGAATGTTTAGGATGCCGAGAAAGGGCAACAGTTGGTTTTCATAGTTCCATCTGAAAGGAGTTTGTTTCACTGACTGTGGTGTGCTAACACTAATAGCCAATTAACAGTGAAGCTGAATTAGCCTTGAAACATGATTATTGTAACCTGATTGTTTGGCTGTAGTGCAGTCCCACTCCATCTGGATTGTCTTTCTAGACTCTCTGGCTACTTTCACCTTTTAATTACCAGACTCACTGATGACCATGGACTCTAACGAGGTTCTAGGATAAAGAAGAGTGTTATTTCTGGGGAGTCTCGGTAAAGAAAAGCATTTTGTGAAGGCAGGACTATGCCATGCACAATTCCTCATCTTCCAGGGAACGCATCTGGCCGCTCACCAGCAAGATGCACCGTTGAGCCTTCAAGAGCTGTAATCTTGCTGGTATTACCCAGCAGTTAATGCAATCAGGGACTTCTGAAATAGTCAGCTTAGGGCAGGATTCTGCTGAATCACTGGGGCTGTGTGTAACTCGGTGCTTGCTCAGGCAGAGTCCACGTTCCGCCAGGCTCCTGCACACTCCTCCTTGTAGCTGTTTCGAGTAGTGTGTTTGGACCAAGATCTTCTTGGATGGCATCATGAGAGGTAGCATCCACCAGAAAGTCTGCCTTAACGCTGTGGGAAGGGGGTAAACCTTCCCCCTGATTCTTCTGTGAGGTGTGTAGGAGATGGGTCTCTGCAGCAGCTGCTGTGATCTGCCTGGCTTTGTTGTGGGATTCCGTAGGTCGGGGTGGTTCAGCCGTATGGTATGAATCACAAACCAGTTTGGGAGCCCAGAGGGAATGGTACAGGTATATAATCTGTGTGGCAGCGAGGCAGCGAAGCCCCCGGTGTTTCTGGGCAGATGCAGAACTGTTTTTCCACAGCAGATGTTGTCAGCCAGGTTAAATCAGTTTGTGCATCAGCTCCAGCTTGCTGCCAGCTGGACTTCTCTGGTCTGGGGTGATACTCATCATGGGTTTCCAAACAGGAGTCCTGCCTGTGTGCTTTTAGTTCCCACCCTGCAGTATTTCCAGAGCATTTCATAAAAGCTGTCACGTTTGAGAGGGTGTCTTTTTTTTCCTCTTCCCAGTTTGAAGAGAGAGATGCGGAACCTGAGCGAAGAGTGCAATCTGGAGCCGGTTACCGTCTCCATGGCTTACGTTTACTTTGAGAAGCTCGTCCTCCAAGGCAAACTCAACAAACAGAACCGCAAACTGTGCGCTGGTGCTTGTGTCCTGCTCGCAGCCAAGATCAGCAGTGACCTCAGGAAACACGAAGTTAAACACCTTATAGACGTAAGTACTGTGAGACGCGGTTCAGGTGGTGTCAAACCTTTCTCTCTAGCTCCTGGAACAAGACAAATATTAAAGCCAAGATTTTCAGCAGCGTGAGCTTGCATTTAAGACCAGCTCTGTCAGTCAGTTACATCTCATTAAGGCTCTTCCTTGATATTTATTTTTTTTTCTTTTAATTCATTAAAACTGCTTGACTGGTGCGGTCTAATGTCCTGCTGATCCTACAGGGAGGTTATTTTTGCAGCTTACTGTTTCTCGGGCGAAGATCCATAACTATTGTGTGGGTGTCACAGCTGAGCTGATAAGCAGGTTTTCTGGTCTGATCCCTGGCAACACTTTTGATTCTGTGGGTGCAGCTCAGGCCACGCGTCGCTGACTCCTGGCTTATGCTGACTTCGCCTCCCCCTGCCTGGGTATGGTGTGGATTAACCGATTCTCTTTGTCCCCCTCCCCTCTTCTTTTGTTCTTACTCTCATAGAAACTAGAAGAGAGATTCAGATTCAACAGAAGGGATCTCATCGGGTTCGAATTCACCGTCCTCGTAGCTTTGGAGCTGGCTCTCTATCTTCCTGAAAACCAAGTTTTACCTCATTACAGACGGCTCACGCAACAGTCGTAACCAAGGCCACGTTGGGGGTGGCAGCCGGTGGCGCGGGGGATCGCGAAGGTGCCGCCGGCCGCCCCGTGCCGCTGTGTGTGTCCCGCCACGGCCACAGCTGGTTTGGAAGCCTGAGGTGTGGTGTCAAACTGTCGGGGTGCGTTACGGACACCCCACGTCTGGGGGATGGTACGAGAAGAGTTATTGAACTTTTCATTTTCTTTTGGACGTTTAAAGCACAAATATTCACCAGTCAGCTATCACGGCTGCTTATTATTCCTTATTTATCTTTTTTTTTGGTTTTACTAAAACTGTTCTTCCCTATGAAGAATACTATGGTATTGTTTATTTTTTGTTTTGTTTTTTTAAGCCTTTATTGTATTCCTTGAAACTAAAGGAAGCATCACTTCCATTCCAGTGCACCATAAAGTTTCCGACGTTTCTAAGAATCTTCTCGCATTTTTACATTAATGAAATGCATACTTTATTTTTTTAAAGATGTGCCTAAAACTGGCTGGTCTGGTACCAGTGCTTTTTAAGTTAGTTATGTTATTTAGTGAGGAATCCTGAATTTCTATAGCCATTTATTCTTTACCTGCATTGGCCTTGCATATGAGGAAAACAACTCCAGTATATCTGCACTAGTGATACACGGGGCATCTATTCCCTACTCTACTATAGATCTCTAAGTAGCAAGGTTGAAATTACTCCGTTCTCATTTAGTTAACGATTAATACCTTAGAAATATACGTTTTATTTAAAAAGGAAAGATTGTTTGAAAATGTCATGAAATGCCACGTGTGGAACAAGGTGGGCGCAGCAAAGCCATTGCCATCCCCATTCACTCTTCAGTGGGAGGCGAGCACTTGACTAAGAGCAATTTGCTGTCAATTGTATCATTTGTGGGTTTTATTCGTTTCTGTGTTCCCTACTCTGAAATAAGCACCTTTTTAGTACGACTGTATTATATATGGTCTTACGTGCTCTGAGCAAATACTGAGTCAGTAGAGCTGCTGCTGCCGATCTAAGCCAATGAGACAAAGCATGCTCGATATGGAAAATGCTACTGTTTTTACTCAGTTCTTCCAAGCATTGCAGCACTGTGATGGTCTCCATAGAACTGCCATTTCTTGCACATCTGAACAGCCGCCTCCCGGCTGGTGCCCAGCAGCGCGCTGATGCTCACACAGGGTTAAATAACTTCTCTGACAGTTGGCTGATCCCTTCAGTTGTTTTTGAAGCGTCCGGGTTGGGAATGAACTCTGATTACACGTGGAACCTTCTGTGCTATTGGCTCTAGGGTTTATTTTCTGAAGCAATATGATGACACGAGTAACTGTGGCCGCTTGCAAGGAGCAAAACTGATGCTTGGCTCTTACAACTGAGAAATGTGTAATTTAACTTTGACTCCTCAATGAAGTACTAGACCTCGTAGTGAGGTGAGGGACCTGCTGTCTAATATGTAAAGTAATGTAAATTCCTGTTCCTCGTATTAAATGTTGGTTGTAGGCAAAACCGAAGCCGAGTCTTTGCTCTTCAGCTGTGTTTTGTCTGAAGCTGATTCGGCTTCATTAGAGCTGCCGCAAACTTTACTGGAGCCCCTTCCTCTTTCAGGAGGGCTCAAAATGTATTTTTCCTATATAATAATGACAGTGACTATCAAATCTTTTGTAACTGTGTTCAACTGTATGTAGCGTCAAGTTATTTGTGTAAAATTTGAAATGCTTGTGACTTCCCTCTAACGCAGAAGGCCTTTCCAGTCTCCTGGAAAGCTCATAAGCTCCTGTTAGCAAATATATTAGACGATAAGCTTGCCGGTTGTATTCCAAAAGGGTTAAAAAATACCTACTAGTTAAACTTCCTACTGAATATAACTGTCTTTGCATGCAAGAAATAGTGATGTACTAAACACCTAGTGTATAACAAGCCTTCAGGTTAATCAATGGTGGTGAAGACAACTGAAGTGGTCCGTCCACTGCTTCCTAAAATCATGAGGAGGGGGAAGAGGTAGAACTGAGCGGAGAAACTCCTCACACGGTCTCTCCAGAAACAATAAAACACTTGGGTGAGTGGGAATGGAGGCAGAAAAGGTCCTTCTCTGGGAACATCTTTCTGTATAAAGAGTTTTCTGTAGCAAAATTAACTTTCCTTTCTGACCATCTAAGGGGAAAACCCCACTTTGGTTTGCAGCACTTTGCGGTCTCTATTCAGTGGAAGTTTGTCTAGTTGTGGTGGGTGTCTGGGCTGGAGTTACACTCCCAGAAGCTACGGTTTCATGGCATAAAAAAGCAAGCTTTTGTTTTCTCTTTCAAAAGACCAAAGTTAGGATAAGGAGCATTAAATTACAGAACATTGAGTGCTGTTAAAGGTTGCTCTAACTGTTGGCAGGGGCCCAGGCAGTGTCGGGAGGCCAGGCCGGAGGCGCGGTGGTGGCGTGGGTGGCCTTGTGGCCGATGCCACCTGCGGCTCCGCTGTGGCGTCAGCACAGAAACTGTCCCTTTGTGTCTTCATTTCTCCATTTCCAGAGCGTAGCCCTCGGTCCTGCGTGAGGATGTTTTATCTTTTCGCCTAAAAGCTGCCACCATGTGGCAAAGGACTACAATAAACTGAAGGTGGGACCCACAGCAAGGCCTGGCCCCGCGGCCGGTTCTGTCCCCCTCGCGGGACTGAGCTCTTGCGAAGCGGCTGTACATTTTTCTGTGAACAATGCTGTTACGGTTTTGTCTCGCTCCATTATTTAAAAGTCTGAGTTGTAGCCTGTTATGGTTTGGTTTTTTTCCCCCTCATGAACTTGTGACATTAAGACGCTGTGAAATAAACACTGTTTTGATACGTGTTTTGTACCCAAACGCCTGGTTTCGGAGTGTTTTTTCCCATTCCGCGGGGGCCGCTCAAAGCCGGGCCCCTTCCCCTCAGCCCCGCGCCGCCATGACGGACGGCTCCTGCGCAAGGGCCACGCTGGCGACGTCACGGCGCCACGCCGGAAGTGATCATCTCCCTCAACGTATTTCCGCTTCCGGTGCTGCCCCCCCCTTTTCCGCCGCGGCGCACGCGAGGTAGGAGCGGGATGGCGGGGCTGCGCCGGGGAGAGCGGCCGGGGCGGCGGGGCCTGGGGCCGGGAGGGGGGATCCCCTCGGTGTGTGGGCTGCCGTGAGGCCGGGGAGGGGGCGGCGGGGAGCGGAGGGGCCCCTCAGCGCCGGCGGCCCCTCAGCGCCGGCGGCCCCTCAGCGCCGGCGGCCCCTCAGCGCGGGCGGCCCCTCAGCGCGGCCTTGCGCCTTCCAGGTATTCCCGTTCGGTGCCGGTGCCTCAGCGGCCGCCCCAAGGAGATGCAGAACGACGCCGGAGAGTTCGTGGACCTCTACGTCCCTCGGAAATGGTGAGCGAGTCCCCTTGTTGGGGGCGGCTGGGCCCCGAAGGGCTAGACCCTGGGCAGGGAACCGGGCTGAGGCCTGCACGGCCTGGGCAGAGCAGGTTTTCTGTAGTCAGTAGCGGTTATTATAGAATCACAGAATGTTTAGAGCTGGAAGGGACCTTAAATATCATCCAGTTTCAGTCCCCTGCCCTGGGCAGGGACATCTCCCACCAGCCCAGGTTGCTCCAAGCCCCCTCCAACCTGCCCTTGAACCCCTCCAGGGATGGGGCAGCCACAGCTTCTCTGGGCAACCTGGGCCAGGCTCTCACCACCCTCACACCAAACAAGTTCTTTCTGGTTTCTAATTTAAATCTCTCCCAATTTAAAACCGTTATCCTTTGTTTTGTCACTATACTTCCTGACAAAGAGTCCCTCTCTGACTCTCCTGTAGGCTCCTAAGGCTCATCTTATCTGGCGGGGGTGGGGGAAGAAGTTAAAAATCTGTTTTCTACGTGTTTCTGTATTTTTAAATATCTTATGTGAAATATGCAAGGCGAAGACTAATGTTAGAGAGAATGCTGTGTGTTTTCTGTCAGCCTCCCGGTGGCAGCTCATGTGTGATTTGTTTCAAAAGCAAATGTGCCACATCTTTAAGTACAGTTTTGATACTATAGTAAATGGATAGGAAGAAGCTTTTTGTAAATATGTGTATAAAAAAAATCACCTAAAAAAAATACACCATTTGGACGCATTTTATTAGGTGTAAATCGAGTGCTTTTTACAAGCTGTGATTTCTGCAGGTTGGGAGCCTGAGTGTCTCCTGACACCTCTAACGGCTCCCAGTGAAAAAAGGCATAGGGGCTGTGTTCTTATGAATTACCTCGATTGCTGTATTTTTTGCACTTCAGAAAATCAAAACTCAATATTCTGCCTGTTTTGAAGGGCCTGTGGTGCTGTGTGCACTGTGTAGGGGTGAAGTGAGCATATGAAAACCGAAGGGAAGGGATAGTTGGCAATTTAGCATAATGCTACCAGGTGAAAGTCTCCTTTAAATGCACTTAAAGCTGCATTTTAATTTCCTGAGCAATTAAAGCTTAAACTGTTACTGCTTAAACTACCTCTGCAACTTTAATTTGCATGTAGATTTGGCTTCAATAGATTAAATATGTTTGGCTTTTTTTTCATTGTCACTCTCTGTATGCTTTTGTTTGAATATATCTTGTTACTTTATTTCTTAGCTCCGCCAGCAACCGAATAATTGGTGCAAAGGATCATGCTTCTATTCAGATAAATATTTCTGAGGTAAGTTTCATAACAAGAGTGTGCAATGAGAGCACTATGTCTCTAGACTTTTGCAAGAAATTTAAAAAATATAAGAGCTTGTGGTGCGTCTCCAGATAATTCACCTGAGACTGTGTCAGTGGGGAGCTTGAGGGCTTTCAAACATCCAAGTATATTACTACGTGGAGTAATGGAAATGGAAAACATTCATTGGAGGGAATTTAATGAAGCTCTGTACAGCCTGTTCCAGTGCTTAACTGTTTGACTAAGTACAGCTTCCTAACTTTAGAGTTATAAGTGAAGGGAATTCCTTATCCTGAAGGAAAGAAGTGGTGTTTGCTTCTGGGGAATTCTTAGGTGTTTTGTGTGCACTATTATCATTTCATTAACTCGGTGCTTGAGGTGTTATAGGCTCTGAATTTTTCCTGGGGGCTGTGGGGGCTGTGTACTGACTCAGTACCGTACGTTGAGTTTTCTTTCCGTAGCAGAAGGAATTTGTTCTGGTCTAAGTGTCATTCTGTTTTCTCCACATAGTGTTACTGTGAACCCCTCCAAGCTTAACATACACATTAAGAAAGCCACAGTAGACCTTGACTCCTGCAGGATCCCAGTTAATGCACATGGGCTCCAGTTAATTTAAACACCTCTTAGCATGCTTTTTTTTTTGTTTATTGGCATTCACCTGGTAGGACACAATGTTCCTATAGCTTATGAGCTGTATCACTTGATTTATTTCTTCTTGAGTAGCAGACCACAAAAATACATTCCCGTATTTTTAAACAGCTGAGTCTTGTGTTATCTTTCTGACTCAAGAAATAATTTTTAAAAATGCTCTGTTTGCAATTTCCTGTAAATGTTAATGGAAATACTTTCCATGTTCAGTGTGTTTCATTCCTTCGGTGATCCCTATTGCTTGTTTTCAGAGGATTAGGGATTAGCAGAACTGAAAAACAAACCCAGATGGTTTTACAGGGTTCCCTACACTGTTTAATTTCATGATTTATGTTGTTTAGTCTTTTTTCCTGTTAAGTTTCTTAGCAATTGGGAGAAGTGAGACAATTTGTGTCTCTCTACTTGGACAGTTTTCTACCTGCCGAACAAGATCGTCCCCTTTCCCCTCACTTCCATTTTCCAAAATACTGATGTTAATTAAAAGTGACATGAAAAAAACAGCAAAGGCAACAAAATCCACAATTAAACTTTACATTGAACTTTTCCCTTTTTTCAGAACAGCACCTTTGGGTGCTTGGCAAGTGGGATGTAAAAGTGTAAAATTTTATAAGAATCGGTACCGAGTAACTTGCTTGTACTTCCAGGTTGACAAGGTCACAGGCAGAGTAAATGGCCAGTTCAAAACCTATGCCATTTGTGGACCAATTCGTAGAATGGTAAGTATTTCCTTGACCTACAAAACGATTGTGCTTCCTTTTATATTGATTAGTAATTCTTTAGATTTATGTTTGGCCCCAAAGACACAACGTGCCTTCAGCTCGTTCTAGAGGAAGAGCTTCTGTGGGGATAGTGAAGACATGAACAAATTCACTTGCAGAGAATCAGTTTCTGCTGTTTTTTTCCCCAGTCCTTTGGTTTGTAGAATTATGTATATTTATTTGTTTGTTTTTTAAATCACTGAAGGATGCAAGTGATTCCCTCTCCTCCCTTTCCTCCGTATGTACGTAGTTACTAATATCTGGCTTTTATCTGTTGTTTATAATTATTAGAGATGTTACTGCCATGATTTAAATTTGATAAACAGTGTGTGAAGCTTCCTAGAGTTCATGAGAAGTCTGCTTATGCAGAAATGTATCTTATTAAAGCAAGTGTATATTTTATCAAGTTAAAACTATTTCTTATCCTAAACCACAACAAAGAATTTAACAGCTTGTTCTGAAAACGCTGATCTGTGCATATAAAATACAGCGAACTGGGAAAGCGTAGAGCATTTTAGCACCAGCATTAAATGCTGCAGCTGCCTCTCTTTTTAATGTGTATCAGCAATTATTTGGTTGCTTCAGAATCATCTTTTATTTCTTGAAAGGGTGAATCAGATGACTCCATTCTGCGTCTGGCAAAAAATGATGGAATTGTTTCCAAGTACGTATGTTTATCTTACCCTCTAACTCTTGGAGGGGTAACCTCCATTCCCAAATCCAACTTTCAGGATGAAAACGTATACACCGTATTTCTGGGGCGATTGCACAGTTGGATAAAAATATTTACTTGAGCTGTTAAAGCAAACTAATTTGTAATGACGTTTGTTTCATTTTCTTCTAGGAACTTCTAACTGAAGAAACCCCAGTATGGAACATTTGACGTAAAATAAACAGTCCAAACAAATACTGTGCTGTGTCTCTTTTGTTCAGGTCATAAAAATGGTTGGATTTATTATAGCTGGTCTTAGAAGACTTAGAAATGTGTGTCTTCAAAAGATACACAGCTTCTGATTGTGAATTCTTAAAACAAATCAGCTCGTAAAGTGGTGTCAGAGTTGAAAACAGGGAATTTCCACTTCACTCTTTGGTTCACGATCGTCTTTCTTTTCCAGATTTAGTAAGTTTTGCCATTGGAGCTCAACTCTCTTTTAAGCTGTGATGGAAGATTTTGCGGTGTAGTGATCTCATTCAGCTTGCTGCTTTTGCACTGGAAAAACCAAGGAATACTTTCAGTTATGTTATCAAAGTTTAGTGGTTTTTCTGCTGATAGAGACTCGCAATATTTCTTTTGCCATTGACACACATTTTTTAAGTGAATTATTAAATATGGAATTCTTGGGAAACTGTCTTATCAGAAATGCTTCCTGGAATCCTAGCAGTGTGATTGCCATGTGAGAGAGACTAGTTTTACCTTTTCACTCTTACATGAGATCTTGATGTTGATGTTTTGGTGATGCCTTCCTGTTTCTGCTGTAAGCTGTGTGGTGCTTATTTCTGACTTGTTTGCTGTGGATGCTCGGGGGGGTGAGAAGCTTCTGGCTTCTCTCTGGAGAGCCCAGAACAGTGATGCGGTCACCTCTGAATTAAGGAGGATGGATGGACTACCCCAGCCTGGTATCTTTCTCCTTATCTGTATTTTTCTTCTCAGATATGTCAAAATGTAGTATATTTCTTTGGAAGTCCTGTCTTGGCACCATCATTATCTGTTGAACCCAGGCAGAGCAAATCATTCTGGCTTCTCTCTGGAGAGCCCAGAACAGTGATGTGGTCGCCTCTGAATTAA